AAAGCACTACTGGAGAGCAAATTCATCATGTGAGGTTTTTTTCCTTCTTTTTCCCTGAGCTAGAAATGAACACACACACACACACACACAGAAAAAAATGTATGATGAGGCATTTGGCCTATAAATACATCAAACCATTTTATAAAAGATAACTATTCACCATTTTTGAATTATGTGACTACACAAAATCAACTATCTTTGGAAGTCAGAGGACAGAATTCACAATCAGACATCACAGCCTGTGCTTGTGATCCTAGCTGCCCTTGTGTCATCTGTCCTGGGGCAGGGATGAACCTCGTACAATAAGAAAAGGGGATCTGTCACCTCCACTCCCAAATCTCTCTACCACCACCCCTTTTTGCCCCAACCTAATGATGTCAGGAACTGAACTTAATTAAAAGCATTTCACACCAGGAGGATATAATAGCCACAAAAAGGAGCCCACTGAATGTGACCATCTTTTTCATGGTCCCATTATCCTGCATAGGCAAAGCATAAAATCTCTCTCTCATCCCCTATCAGTAAACATTTCACTAGTCTGTCAGGGATTCAGCATGCTTGGTAGTATCTAACACTATCAATAGTGTATGAGCCTGAGGTCTAGAGCCTCTTCAACATATATATTCTTTAACTGATGAGACACACATGCCAGAAAGATAGCAGTAAGTACATTTCCAGAAAAAGCAAGCAAAGCTTTCCCTCGGTCTTCCCCTTGTAACATGTGACCCTATGTGGCTTTTTAAAACTCTGTCATCAAGCCAAAGCCATGCAGAGCAAAACCATGTGGGGCTGCCATTCACAAGCACACAAATGCAGTGGAAGTGCTCACTTTCTCCCAACTGCTTCTGCAGCATCTGCAGCTCCTGTTGAGCCTCAGCCAAGGAGACCACTGGTGTCTCACAGCAGCCAAATAGGGGAGGGCCAGGGGGCCTGAAAGACGGGCAGCTGGATGGAGCTGAGGGCAATGTTGCGTGGGGGAGGCTAACCAACTTGGGTATGGAGTTAAAATGAAAGCCTAAAAATAGAAAGTTAAAGAGAAATGAAATACATCATTAGAGAGAAAGTGAGAGAAAAGAATGGGTAAAAGATTAAAAATGTGAAGTCTTCCCCTGACCAGACATCACTTAATGTAGTACAGACTGAGACGGCCGAGGGTGATCATTGCTACCAAAGAGGCTGACATGGCTGATCCCTCCTCCTTTTCCTCTGCTGGGGCTATTTTACATACATATTCTATGTTCACCTTGAAAGCAATTGGCTACAGAAATCAAGGTGACATTTCTGAGCCCCACCCCAGCAATCCTGGGCATGGACAGGTCAGGATGGCTATGCCTAAATGCTTTCAAGGGTGCTGCTCCCAGCATGTACAGTTTTTGCCCCTGGGACAAGACTCTCCCTACACCTAATACTCCTCCTCGGAAAGCATCAGGGACCATCCTGAGAAGGGCAGGAGACAAACTTCAGAATCCCAAGTCAATGTGTTCATTCACGAACTGAAAAGTAGACGCCTTGATAGAGTACCTTAGACACAAAAATAATGGCCTTGGTAGAGTGGCTGGCAA